GAAAGACTGTTGTTGTCTTTACCTCTGGTCAGTTTAAAGTGTGATCAAAAGGTATGATCGGTAACCTTCAGGAGGTTTAATAACTGCATTTTCTGATTTGCAACATGATTTTTCTCTCCTTAGTTGCTGTGTGCAAGGTCCACCCAAATTGAGGGAAAATCGGCAATACTTATATGAAGAGTGCTGTTGAATGCCTAAAGCAAAGAAGCTAGAAAAGCACAGAGTTTTTCCTTTCTGATTTCTTTCAGTTCTAGCAGGCTTAAGAAGCACGGAGAAAACAGTTGCAGTGTTCCTTTAAATGTTTAAACAGCTTTATTAGGAGAACTTTGTCCAGAAGTCCAGAAGCCGGTTAGGGATGGGTGCGTGAACATTAAAAGGCTTAATGTTCAGTTTGGCTTAGCCTTCAGAAGTTAGGCTTTCTTATGAGACTGACCCGTTCTTCCTGTGCTGCTCCTCGGAAATGAAATCCTTTGAGAAGGAAGCAGGCCAGGTTCTTTGGGGAGAGGTGAGCTGTTTTATTAGACCAACTGAGTAGGTGGAAAAAAGTTCTTTGCAAACTTTTGGGCACAGTCACCCTTCTTCAGGCATAGGGCGAACTGTTTTGTAGTATTTGATGCTTCTGTCTGTAGTCCCGTCTGAAGCCATCAAGTATAAGAAAAGCAGCTGCAAAGTCCGAAGAACATTTTAGAAAAAGTTATTCGAAAAAAAAAGAAAGTTGTCTTTGAATTGGAGGCAAAAGTTGGTTTTGGTTTCTCTGTCCAAACTGGTTCATGTGGCCAGTTTCAGAAGCAGTACATGGGAGAAAGACATGTGATGTAGAGCGACGTCTTAGCACCCCCTTCGGTCACTGCAGAATTTGTCACCCTCACGTTGTCCTTTCCCCCAAATGGTGTTTGCACAAAGGAGAAAAGCCAAAATCTTTGCATGAGGAGACAAAAGACTTGTTTGCCCTTTTCCTGAAAGGCTGTTTTGGCAGAGTGCCTAGGCGTGTCATGGATCTCTTGTACCAAGCTGCTCTTATCCAGCTGATAACGAAGAAACAAGCAAGATAGTAATAGTGGAATTCAAGGGGTTTTTCTTTAATTAGATTATGGTTCAGACGTATACTTTAAAAACCTATTGACAGGTATCTGTAGCTATCACTTCATGCTTTTTGTGTGAAAGAGCCCCCATATTATTAAGTGCTTAATTTTTAATGTTGTTAGCTAATTTTGGAAGGATTTCACTCTCCACTGTAACAACAAAAAGATGACAAAGAGAGAGAGCGATGGCCGGTGTAGGGTATGCCCAAGGCTGCAGAGAAGTTCCCAATTGGAAAGGCTTTGTCAGGTGAGACCTCGGGTCCAAGTGCTGAAGTGTGTAGTTGCTCAAGAAGTTGGAGAAAATATATTTCCTTACCTACAAAAACATAGTGAAGTTATTTTAGTCCAGCAGTTCTCAGAAAAGAGTGAGTTTTCATTTATTTAATTGTTTTCATTAATGCTTTGATGGAAGATGTTTATCAAAATGTTATATTTTGAATGTTTCTTTTGCCCGGTTTGGGTAGATGGGCGAGGTTTTTTCCTATTTCACTCTTTTTCCATCTTGTGGTTGAGAAAAGTAGAGGGGTGGAAGATAAAGGAAGGAAAGAAAGAAAAACAATGAACTGAAAACCCCTCAGCTGTTTCTCAGTTTCATAGGAAACCAAACTAAAAAAAAAAAAAAAAATCATCTTTTTTTCAAAAAAAACTATTTTATTTTATTAAAACAGGACACCTTTAATAGGGAAGGATTATACCAGAGATGTGACATGTTTACCTGGCAAGATGTGGACATGGTCCTTGAAATAGGAGCCTAGTGGTAGAATCATTTGGGAAGACACTTTCTCTCCATCAGGAGCGTGCAGAGAAGTTCACTTCTGGATCGGGAGGACAAAGCTGCCCGACAGTCACTGGTTCATACTCTAGTTTTGCTGATGGCATGTTATTAAGTGGCTGAAGCACCTGGCTTGGAAATGGATGCACTTCCTGGCTTGGGTTACCCTATGTATCATCATTTCAGCCATCTACAGCACTTAGACAGTGACAGCAGTAAACTTCTGGATTTCTTTAGGGCCCTGCTCTATTGATCTTTACCATTTTTCAGTGACTTCAATAACTTGAGAGCAGAGCTGTCAAAAATGGTCTTTATTTAATTGATTTGTTTCTATATGGCAGCTTCTATATGTGACTTGGGAACAGTCACACGTGTTACATTTATTACAGGTGTTGATTGTGGAATACAAACCTAGATGGGTGGAAGTAATGATAACTCTGTAATTTCAGAAGCCTACCGACAATGCACAGTGCAGGTAGAGTGGGAGGCAGAGATGGGTTTTCAGGGGGCTGAAAACTGAAGACTGTGAGGAAGCATTGTAGAGATGGAAAGAGGCGTGGAGTTGATTTTGGGTAGCAGGCACAATCAAGAAGGCAGCTGCGGTACAGCAGGTGAGCTTGTGTGAGCGGCTGGCCTGGGAGTCTCGGGTAGGTGAATGTGAGGTGGGCACAAGGAGAGGCAAGGTCTTGCAGAATAGCTGGCTGCAGCATCTCACTGGGGAGTTTTAAATACAAAGGCAGCAGTTTTGAACTGGATCCCTAAACGAATGGCGATATACTCTCACCCATCTCTCCCTCTCTCTGTGTTCCTCGACTTGGTCTACGCTGCAGCGAGACATCTGAGTGCAGTGGATGTAGCATACTTAGTCTTGCTTAGTAGCACTGAAGCTGGAAAAGCTTGTAGTCACCTGTGTAAGCCCTGAGCATCCCAGACATACAAAGAACTAGAACTCTTGGTTCCAAAATGATACCTTTTATTAGACAAACTAGAAAATGGCATTCCTTTTCTGCAAGCTTTCGGGATCAAAGTCCCTTTGTCAGGCTCTGGGAAAACTGTAGATGGTACAAGAGAGTAAAAAGTCCCCATAGGTCAGAAATAAACTTCATTTTTGCACAGAGGGAGCTGAAGATGGAAGTCTGTCCCTTTGGGTCCATGAGAGTGTCTTTGTGAGCATCCCAGTGCACTTACGTAGCCTGTGCTGAAGGATAAGGCACCCCAGCTACTCTGCTTTTGGTACCTGAGCAAGGTAGATTAAGCCTGGCTCTGAGGCATCTGCAAAAACCACCTCTGATCCGAGCGTGGAAGTGCTTAGGCAGGCAAGGTTCTTGGGTAGATGTGATATCTTGTATTAGACCAACTAAATAGATGAGGGGGCGGAAAAGTTCTTTGCAAAGTTCCCAACACAAAAAAAAAGCTAGCAAAGAACTTTTTTCCATCTATTTAGTTGGTCTAATAAAAGAGATCAGATTTACCCAAAGAACCTTACGTGCCTATGTCCGTAGACCAACACGGCTACAACCAATGACCCTGGAAATACTCAGTGAAGACACGGGATTCTCCTGGGAAGAAATGTCTAGGCTTAAACCTGGGCAGGTGAGCTCCCACTGCTGCCAGCTGGAGGAGATGCAGCATGTAGACTGGACCCTTTGAAGGAGGAAAAAATAAAGCTGGCAGGCTGGTTTGCATCGAAAATTGGCAGTTTCAAAGCAAAGAGTGACCTCTTGTGGGCCCAGCCTATAACTCGCCGATAGAAAACTGCTTCCTTTGCTCCTATTCTTCCCTGCTGAGATGTGGTGTGGGTTGTCCTCCTGGGTTACCAGCAAGGGGAAGGAGCTACTTGTAGGCATTATGATAGTCGGTTAGAAAACAGAGCCGTGCAAGGCTAACTGAGCTGGAGTGGATGCACCCTTGACCCACTGGAGAAAGATTTCCTATCAAACACATCACGTTAGAAAGAGAAGAGCCTTATGTGAACCATAGCTCGGCTCTTATGACCTGGGAATAGCACTGGGTTCCTGCAGAGCTTCCTGCTTACTCTGCCATGGGGAAAAGTAATTTGCAAGATGTTTGTGGCTGGCCCTTTGGACAGAGGAAAGCTTGGTTTTGCATTTGAAGGAGGGGGATCTCCAGGTCACAGCTATTGCATTCCCAGGACACCCGGAACCATGATGTGGGGAGCTGTAATGCAGCTTGCACAAACAGGGGGAGTCATCTTGCCTCCCCCCATGGCTGCAGAGGACAGAGATAGGCAAGCCATGTCAGGAGTGCCACAAGTGGCACAGGCATGGAGCATGCATGTGCATGCATGCAGCAGATAAAGAAGGGGGGAAGGAATATAGCTGGTGATAAGGCAGGGAGCAGAAATCAGAGCAACAGATTGGGCAGGGAGTACATGACAGGGAGCAGAAAGCCGGACAAGTCTGGGAAGGGAGCAGAAAGCGGAGCAGCAGCAGATTGGGCGAGAGAAGGGGATCAAAGTGGCACTTGGAGAGGGTGCAGGGCTTCATTTGTGACCTGCTTGCCCCAAAAGTTTGGCTCCCACCAATATAGGGCATGATCTAGCAATGTAGGGCTGGGTATCATGTACAGAGCCTCTATTATAAACGTGTTACTTGCTCTTCTGCAAATCTAAACCTCGATTTACATACAGGTGCATTGGTATAACTACAGGTGTGACTTCACAGCAGTTTAATTAACTGATGCAGCTTTGTGTGCGGACGCTGCTATATTGATTTAAGGGTGTAGTGCCGCCAAGTGCAGGACTAGCTTTAAACAAACAAAAAAAAAAATCAAGGGATCTTAAAAATAATGAATTTGGGGATCTTTCTATTTTTCTTCTGAGCCTTCTGCTCAGGTAACACTTATGAGCTTCTCTCCATAAGCACAAGAGTGCTTGATTTTTTTTTTCTTTTAAGCAATAATGGACATTCTCTTAAAAATCACACGGCTCCAGAAAAACAACCCAAATCCCAGGAGTTGGGACCAGGAGTTGGCTTGCAGCAGCATCCAAACCAACTAGTGAGAGTCAATACACAAGCTGCACAGAGACAAGTACAAGCCCTGGGCAGTTTAGTTCTCCTTTTCACTCTGCTACGTGGTGGGGTCCCACGCTCTGACTGCTTCTCCCTTTCTGTCTCATCCTGCAGCAGCCAGCAGAGCAGCCAGCAAAGCAGCCACGATGACGACTCGTCCCGGTTCCTGAGTCCCCGCATGCGTGACGAGAGGTAGGTCCCTCCAGGATGAGGGAGCTGGGGCAATGTCTGTAACCCCTCAGGAAGGGGCTGTGGGCCCAGCCCAAGCCTGGTTTCGGGATTGTGTTGGTTGTTTTCCCCCTGCTTTTTCATGTTCATCATCAGGAAAAGGATAGCTCAACTCTTCAGAAGGGAGTTCTGGTTATGTGTGTGTATAAATAAATATATATATATATATATATAGGTTCTTTTAAAGATGAATATTCTCAGATTCTACTTAGAAATCTCACATGTGCGCTCTGGAGGTCTAAACTCCAGGGGATGGGCTGGCACCAGGAAGGCAAAGTTGCCAGGGTATCTTCTGCAACCACTTCCCACCATGGACAAGGCCCTAATTGTTGGACATGTTCCAGTGCATACTTTGCTTTGGGGCTTTGTTAATTGAAACCTGACACTGGAAATCCTAATTTGAGTGGAAACACAAAAGGAAGGGGCTGCCTTCAAAGGTGAAAAGGTAAGAACAAGTAGCATATTAAATGCAGGTCACACTGTAAACTCAGGTACCATCGGCAATTCACATTGCATGCTGCATGCACTGAACCTTGCAGACACCAGTGAAAGCATGTAGAAGCAGTGCCTCCATGCAGCATGCAACACTGTTTATCAGATACAGGTATCAACACATCCTCTTCACTTGACATAACAGTAGTATATCCACAAACGCATTGTTGATATTATGTGAGCAGGACTGAGCTCTTGCTGCAGAATAGGGAATCTTGAGATGTCTGAAATGCAGACGCAGCGTGCAACACGGGAAAGAAGGCAGAACTTTAAATGAGCAGAAGAGTTTGCATGGGACGTGTCTGTATGGGCATTTCATAGTAAAGAGTCGATTACATTCTTGGAATGAGAGTGGCATGGTAGGTCAGGATGAAGTACTGGAAAAGAAAATGACAGGTGTTGGAAACAGAAAATGTTGAATAAGAGAGGTGTTTCTGAAGGGGAAGTCAGGAGGAGATATCTGCCAAAGAGCTCTGTCCTTCACTGTCTACTTGGCTTGGCTTGCTTTGACACAGACTGTTGTCATGGATTGAGTATCATGGTTGTCAAGGAGGTACTGTACATGGCTTGCTTTCTGTCTAAAATGAAAATCACTGTCACATAGGTTGCCAGAAATGCAGGCTTTGATTACCTAAAACTTGCAAGGCAGAAGAGTCCATTGGACAGGCTACAGAGCTAGAGGGTCTACTGACCTACATTTGGTTCCTAAATGTGGCATCAGACAATCCCCTCTCTGTACCTCAGTTTCCCAACTGAAATGCTTGACTAATGATGCTTATTCTATGCCTTAAAGCCTTAAAGCACTGAAAGATCCTTGAGAGATCAAAGTATCATTAATGTTGGTATTTTTTTGAAAGGGTTTGATCGGGTAAATTATTAATTGTGGAACTGGCTTTTAGCTGAAGTTGTCATCATCACTTTCTGTTGCATCTACCAGAAAAAGCCATCCCAAGGAGCTTGCCAGTCTCCCTGGTACTTTGTTACTTTTCAGAACCG